GGGACGCGATTTCCTGGGATTCCTGCCACCAAAGCTGTAGCTAGCCCTGGCGCAGGGGGCGATTGGGGAGCGCAGGGATATGGTGGCAAGCTCATCCCCGAAGTGGTTTGAAAACTCAGGGTGGTTTTCGTGCGTGGAGTACGCTGATTTGTGCCCTGAATGCAGGGTGATCACTGTTACCCACCGGACAGGTGATGTGTTTGTGAAAATGCATGCATAGAAGAGTGAAGCAGTACGTTTGTTGTCTATGTTGCAGAAATCGATCAGAGGAAAAATCTTCAGTAGCTGTGACAGGGAGGCTGAAAAGGCAAGTTGAGGTTGATGGTACTGAAGATGCCATTTCGGGGAAGAAGCCAAAATTGGAAGATGTATCAGAAGATGTTAAGTAAGTGCCCAGCTTAATATAAGGAAATCATAGCAAGACATACTGGTTAGCTATATGCTAGGTGTGAATAGTTGATATAAGTAGCCTTGCAGTATTTTCATATAAAGATGAATAGGCATATGAAGTTGTTTTTCCATTATCTGTATAGGTGAGGATGTGCTGGTAGTTAAGCTCAGCAGTGACGAGCACTGGGTATGCTTAAAATAATACTGCAGGCAGATAGGCAACTGCAGTGTGAAATGTTCGTGTATTTGTTGTTACTGCATATGGATGGGTGGTTCTTGGTCAAAGCAATTGTGTTGGTTTCAGACATATAGCAAGAGGTAAGCAGTGAGGCAGATGGGAGGGATCAGGCTTGCTGTGTAACACACCACTGGAAAACATAATTGGCTTGGGATACAGGAGGGAGAATTTGACCAAGGATATAGGAACAAGGCTTTTGAGGCATGTGAGATTGTAACTACAGTGAATATTTGGAATCTTAAGTGAAGTGAATTTGAGCACAAATCGCAGATCTTTGTCAGGGAGAGAGGGGTGTACTTGCACCTGTAGACAGCTGGGGAGATAAGGCAGCTGAAGGGAAGCCAGAATACCATTTCTCTGCTTTAGGATCTGTGTGTCTCTCCCTGTTTTCTTTCCAGAACTTCATGACAGGTATTATAAGGGGGTTTGAAAACAGATTGAAAGGACAGTGTGGGCACTTTTTCAGCTTGGTGTATCAGAACAGATTCTTTGGAACTTTAAAGTTTAGGCTGGTTCAGAAAATCATTAGAAGGGTTCATGGAAGAAAAAGTTCATCCAGAGTTGCCAGATGCAGGGGTGTACCTCCTAGCTCAAGATGTAGAAGAGTCTACTACAGAAATAAAAATTACGTGCTAGCTGAGTTCTTATACTTTTATCTGGATGATGCATGACTGACTTCTGTCAGACAGAATTTTGGTCTGGATTGTCATTTGGTCTTACATGGTAATTTTTCTTAAGTTCAAAGTAAGATTTTCTGTGATAAAGTCATGACAAGACAGAACACTGTAAACAAAGGGTGCCTGTATAGAAGCAAAATGGAGGCAGAGTCAACATTTTAAATCAGTTTCTGTGTTGGTGGTCTCAGTAGAAGTTATACTTGCCCACAGTATCTTACTAAATGTCAGAAAAGAACAGTTTTAGGCAGTGAGACACTACCTCCTTCTTGTGACCATGACAGAAGACTGGTAAAGAAAAAAGGACTGCCATCTTCAGGTAGCAGCTTGGGGTGCTTCAGGCTGCAGTTGCTTCAGTGTCCTGACTAGTAGCACAAGTACAGGTCTTGCTTTGTTGTATACTGGGGAAAAACCAGTCCCCATTTAATCCCAAAATTTTGTGTGAGCAAATGTGATCCAAGTGCTGATTTGTGGTGCAAGTTTTTAAGTGTTGCAAATCCCAGAGCAGTGGCTGGAGTAGATTCATATAGTAGCAAAATTTTAACACTTACAGGTGTTCTTAGTCCCGGTAGTAGTGTCAGCTCTTTCAAGTTTGTGCATCCTTCTTTTAATGGTGCAGTTAATAGTAGAAGGGAAGTTCAACATTTTCAGGTTTATGAAGAAAACGGGAATTTGTATACCTTGTCGGCAATCCTAACTTGTGTGTTTTCAGTCTGGCAGACCTGATGCCTCAAGTAAAGGTGCAAGCTGTGGAAACTGTTGAAGGTTGTACACATGAGGTGAGTGCAATGAAAATGCACATGAAAAGTAGAGGCTTGTTTCATAGGACTTTATCTATTACTGCCAGCATAATAATAGTGTTTATTGCACTTGTACTTAGTGTATCATAGAATCATATAGATTGGAAAAGATCAAGTCCAACCTAGCACTGCTAATGCCACTACTAAACCGTGTCCACACGTCTCAAATCCCTCCAGGGATGGTGACTCAACCACTTCCCTGGGCAGCCTGTTCCAATGCCTGACAACCCTTTTGGTGAAGAAATTTTTCCTGATATCCAATCTAAAGCTCCCCTGGCTCAACTTGAGGCCGTTTCCTCTCGTCCTGTCACTTGGGATGAGCGACCAACATCCACCTATCTGCAGCACAGAGAGGTGCTTTCAGGGAGTTGCAGAGAGTGATAAGGTCTCCCCTCAGCCTCCTCTTCTCTAGACTAACTTGTGCCCCAGCCCCTACCCCAGCTCCGTTGTCCTTCTCTGAACACAACCCAGCACCTCAGTGTCTTTCTTGCAGTGAGGGGCCCAAAACTGAACACGTGATTTGAGGTGAGGCCTCACCAGTGCCCAATACAGGGGGACAATCCCTGCCCTGGTCCTGCTGGCCACACTGTTCCTGATGCAGGCCAGGATGCCGTTGGCGTTCTCGGCCACCTGGACACACTGCTGGCTCATATTCAGTTGCCTGTCGACCAACACCCCCAGGTCCTTTTCCACCACGCAGCTTTCCCAGCGCTCTTCCCCAGGCCTGTAGCGTTGCAGGGGGTTGTTGCGGCCCAAGTATGGGACCTGGCACTTGGCCTTGTTGAACCTCATACAGTGGCCTGGGCCCATGGATCTAACCTGTCCAGATCCCTCTGCAAAGCCTTCCTACCCTCAGGCAGATATGTTATTTCATGTTATATTTAAGGTATAACAGGGTTTAAGGAGTTTGAGGTCTATATCTGGCACTGAGCATGCACAGAAAGCACTTTAAAATTTAATAGAATATCTTTCCAGAGGCAGTTTAAATGATACTTGCAATAAATCTAGTGATTGTGAAAGACTCTGATTATGTTGATACGTTTCCATATTTGAAACTTACCAAGCACATTCTGAGTACTGTTTGTTGTTGAGGAAAAGCTGGGGGTTGTTAAAATAGGTCTGTGTTCGTAGCGTGATCCAATTGGGCAGCACTGATTTGAAATATTTTGCTGCTCCGGCTCAAGAATGAGAGGCTTTCTTGTAAGGCTGATTGCTGTCGAAACTTACATTTTGGTAAAAACGGAAAAAAGTCTTTTAGGTAAAAGCACAATAATGAAAACTATGCATTTTCAAATTATGTTAATGGACATAAATCCAATTTAAAATATGAAAAATCAGAAGTATTAATGCTGAAATTTTTTTGAAGTCATCTTTCATCCGAAGATGATTGTCAGAAAGAATTTCTGTGAGAATGAAATATGTAAATTTTAACTCACTTGTACTTTTATGATCATTTTCTTTTCTGTGCTGTCTTCCAGAACTAGCTCAAATTAATTACGGTCACATTCACATACCCTGTATGATTAGACCTTTGTAATGTAGGAACTGTATATGCAGTTGATGATACAGGTTTAAAGCCTATGTATCTGTACAGTGTTTCCTACCTTGAGATGTCTGGTAGAGGTTTGCCAACACTTAGTAACTGAAGAGACTTTAAATATTTAGTATGAATGAATGTTAGATACTGGAACTTTACCTGTATAAATACACTGCCCTTGGAAAGGGATTGTTTCCTGTATGAGCTGAATATATTCTTCTAATGTCCATTGGCCAGAATCTGTGACTGTGCCTTGGCCTGAAGAGCTAGTATTTCAAGGAGGTGAAGCAGAAATATTTCACACAAGGCAGTAGGGGCTATCAGAGGATTGAGAGAAGGAGCATTGTTGGGGCAAGAGGATAGACATACAGATTGAAAAACTCAGACGAAGGAAGGAAGCCTTGACACATGAGCTCAGAGAACACAAGTAATAGAAATTCAAATTAGTTTTCATGCACTTTACATTTCCTGCCCCAGCTCTTCATAGCTTGTCAAGTCACTGGAGTTGACATCAAGAATTCTATAACTGCTTTTATTTAAAATGTATTTTATAGGTTGCACTTCCAGCAGATAAAGACTTCACAGGTCTGAAGCCAAGAACTGGAAAACCTGCAAAAGTATGTGATGGATTGCATTTATTTTTTCTTTTTGCCTGTGCTTTAGACAGTAGATGAGGATAGAGGGAAAAGTTACATACTTTGTCCGTAAGGCTTGGGGATGGGTATCTTTAAAATATGGCCTGTCATAAGGAAGACTATGTTTCTGTATTTTAAATTTGGAAGAATAAAGTGATGTGGTTGAATGGGGTGGATAGGCTGTTGTAATTTCAGTTCTATTCTCCAACATCAGTTTCAGGCTTCAGTTGCACACTGTAGTTTCTCTTCCTAAATGAGAGAAGATTAAGTCATTGGGGCAAGATTTTCATTTGATGTGATGAGACATAAGCAAAGAACTTAAGTGTGGTGTTAGATAAAATTATTTGAATACGAAGTTGTTGCCAAGTACTGAATTAAGATCAGTTGAAGTTACAAATACCCATGGGATTTAATTTCTGCCTGTAGTTTACACACTCCATCAGTCGCAAAATTGGAAGTTGAAAGTTGGAGTTGGAAGTAACAATCTGTGTTAAAAATATGTAATGCTTTTGCTTGCTGTCTTTTTAGGAATATCCATTTATTCTTGACGCCTTTCAGAGCGAAGCTATTCTTTGTGTAGATAATAACCAGTCAGTGTTGGTGTCGGCTCACACATCAGCTGGTAAAACTGTTTGTGCAGAGTAAGTAATTTTCTGACAGGCTCTAATAAGAGAATGGTGTGATGTTTGCAGTGTCACTTTGTTGAACCACCAGTAGCTGTTGTGTCTCACTTTCTGGATACAGAGTTTGGTCCATCAGTGTTAGAACTGAGTTGACTACTCTTGAATGTAAACATCACTTCTTTCATCTTGTTTAATGACTAGTCAAAGGTTGAGTTTTGTTTAAGCTTACCTTTTATTTTTGAACAATCTGGTTTTATTGAAATGTTGTATAGATTAAAGGAGAGTTTCTGTAATACAGATTTGCATGAATTTAGAAGAAACAGTTTTGTTTTCTAGCCCCTGGCTGTAACTAAAAAGGAGTTTCTTGTGTGTTACTTTGCTTTGTCAGATACCCTGTTTTGATTTAATTTGCAACTTGTTGTTCATCAGACAAGAAATCTTTAAAAGATAGCGTATGTTTTTGGTCAGGGTTGGGTCTGACAGGGGAGAGGCTTTGCTGACCTGAGAAGTGAGATGTACATGTAGTAACATTACGGCATGTGTTCAAATGGTAATAGTTTGTCATGAGGCAGTAACAGTTAGGTTTTTAGATTAAACTAGAAGTGCTCCGATGTCCATGAGAATCGGTTAACTTGTCAGTGGTTTGTCACTCTCCACAGGGGCATAAGTAATTGAGTCAAGATTGCACTGAGATAAATAATCTAGATATGAAATGTCATATCATTCTATTCGTGTTCTGAACTGCATATTTTATTTTTTTAAGCAGGAGATTAAAGAAATATGCTCTGAATGTGTCTTCCTGATAGCTTTAATATGTATAATGTTTAAATACAGGTATGCAATTGCCCTGGCATTGAGGGAGAAACAACGTGTCATATTTACAAGTCCAATTAAAGCTTTGAGTAATCAGAAGTACCGTGAGATGTATGAAGAATTTCAGGATGTTGGTTTGATGACTGGAGATGTCACCATTAATCCTACAGCTTCTTGTCTGGTAATGACAACCGAGGTAAGATCAGACATTACTTCTTGATCTGTCATTGTTTCCTTCTACCCTTTATTGGCTGAGAAGGTCTGATGATATTAAAGTTGTTATAATAAGCCCAATTAGGGTACCAAATGTTGAAAAGTTCATTATGCCTCTCTCTAATGTTCTGGCTTTTGGTTATTGAAAAAGGTAGGATAATCTCTGTAAATTCATACTTTTGGACTATTGGTCATGAACTTTGATTCTCACATGGAGAAAGGCAGAACTTAATTTCCTGAATGTTGAAGACGCTGAGTTTTCTTTGGATAGGTGTGAAGTACTGAAAGTCAGTCAGACTTAGTGAATCCAGTAGGGTCAGTATTTTGTTCTAGGGAAACAAAACGGGGAGAGGAAAAATCACTGAGTGACTGTTGGGTGGTTCACACTAGATGCTAGTACTCCAGCAATATACAGCTTTTCACCCTTGGTAACAAAGTACTGTTGGCACAGTTCTGTCGTATTTCTGTTGTAGAAATCTGTCTAGCCATATGTTGGAATTTTCCTCTTTCTGTCTTTACCTCGCAGGACTAGAGTCTTACGGAGAAAATTCTGGTAGGGGAAGGTTGGAGCGGAGAAACAGGATGACTCGATTTCTGACAAAAAGATTTCCTCTTGATCACAGAGAGGTTCGCCATTAGGATGCGGGAAGAAGGTGGCTAGGCAGAAGTAGTTCTGTAGACCTGTAACAAATATACTGCCACATAGGGGCTGGAAGAAAAACAATGTTTTGTTCTTTCATGTTCTTTCAGTGTTATTGTAGAGAAACTGGCTCATATCACTTCATGAGATTTGTTAGGTTGGAATCAAATTGGAAAGCATCTCACAGCTGATCTATAAACGCTTTTAAGTTGTGTGCAAAATAGAATCATAGAATGAATCATAGAATCACAGAATAGTTTGGTTTGGAAGGGACCTTAAAGATCATCTAGTTCCAACCCTCCTGCAATGGGCAGGGTTACATACTGTTTCATGTTGCCGTGTAAATGTGAACCGAAAATTCTGGAGTTTCTTACTGACTTCTCTGTAACATGTGGCTGTTATGTCATGTGATCCCCATTTTTTTTTTCTTTTCTAGATTTTGAGAAGTATGCTCTACAGAGGTTCTGAGGTTATGCGAGAGGTCGCATGGGTTATTTTTGATGAAATCCACTACATGAGAGATTCAGGTATTCTATCTGTACATTTTTTTCTTTTCAAGAAATCTTTTTCCCCAAGAACAATTACTTTTTTTTTGAAGAATAAAATCTTTATTCTCTCTAAAAATCAGTTATCTTTGTGCATAAATAATTCAGAGTTTGTTTTCTGCTGAACGTTTATAAGATAGTTATTGTAGTCTGTGTTTTCTTTGCCAAGGAAAAAAGAAAACATGGCATTTGTTATACCCCATTTGTGTAGGGGAGGCTTTTTTTTTCTTTTTCAGTTTCTGTTATTTTTGTCATTAAGCATGCTGTTCTTTAGCTTCAGAGCTGAAAAACAAGCTTTTGTCACCTAAATTTCCTGTGTGACTTTTCCATTTTCAGAACGTGGTGTGGTTTGGGAAGAGACAATTATTTTGCTCCCTGACAATGTTCATTATGTGTTTCTTTCTGCAACGATTCCAAATGCCCGTCAGTTTGCTGAATGGATCTGCCATCTTCACAAACAGGTAAAGTGTCTGATGTGCTCTACCTCCAGCCGTGTTGTCTTGTGGCATAATACTGTCTCTTTGGCTGGTGAGAAATGAACCTTTGAGTGTCTTTTTAGTCATCTTCATATTGCTTATAAATGATGGTATAGATCACTCCAGGCTTCTGTGGTTGCACTCGTAGCTTTTGCAGCTGTACTGGCCATTGGTTCTACACGGCGAGATTCAAGCTCTTTCTTTAAAGTTGATTTTGCATGCTTACTTAGACACCAGCCTGATTTCAACAAAGATTCTGAGTCATGAAACATGGGGAACGTACCATGATTTTCAGAGGGCTGATAGACGAGATTATTTGAAGAATTTGTTTGAAGAGCTCTGTAAAAAGGCCATATAGAAGTCAAAATTAAATTATAAATCCCCCAGAAACACGATATATGTATGCAAACAAAGTGAGGAAAGAGGAATGTAAAGAATCTATCCTGTCCCATAACGTTATGTTTATTTTACTCTGTTTCTTTAAGAGATGCTTTTGCAGCAAAGAATATGGGATTTAGAATTTGGGAAGTTAATATCCACAGGAGGTTGTTCCAATTTTAAAAATACCCCAGAGATTGATTCTTATGTTGTTTGTGATGGAAGGAGTGTAGTGTAAGAGATGTCTATTTAAGCTTGGCACAAAACCTTGACTTACTTTGCAGAACACTAGGCTGTGATTTTTTGTAAAGCAGATTCACTTAAGTGTTTTAAAGGAAGTGTTTTGTTTCTTTTGTTTTTTTCTGAACAAGTTTTTTCCTTGCATTAAAACTTTTAAGTGTTTTTAAAAGTCTACTGTGTGCCTTTTTCAGGTGTGATGTAAGGAACAGGCTTTTTTACAAAATAGAAGGTAGCAGTTTTTCCTTTGGTGTTAAAGGTGTTAGGGTTTTGAGTCTGTGTAATAATACAGAAGGAAATATTACCTGTCCCTACTTCTTGTGTTCTGAGAAATAATTTTTTTAACCAACTTATCTTCTTCTAAAGGATTTGCAAACTTTCATTTTCTTAAGCAACATCTTAAGTATGATACCCATACTCAAGAAAGAATCTGTTGTCTTAGTTTCTGTGAGTCTTACTTTCTGGCTATTAGAAAGATGTATCTTGATAATAATGTATCAGATTTTCCATCAAGCATGTTTTTCTACGAAGCAACTAGAAACATTAAATATTTATATGTGTGCTGTTCTTTATAGCCTTGCCATGTGATTTACACTGACTATCGACCCACTCCACTGCAGCATTATATATTCCCAGCAGGAGGAGATGGACTCCATCTGGTCGTTGATGAAAATGTAAGGAATATTCAGCTTGTTTGAAAGATCTTTCTCCTTGCATATCAGTCACAAGCTTGATGTCTTGCAAAATTTGGATTGGCTGTACAAATGATGTTTGGGCTAAAATGAAGTACAAATGGGCGACAGTGGTCTCTGAATTGCTGGGGTTTTTTTTGAGTTTTATAGAAGACATTGGTTTTATTTTCTAATGTCACGTAGTCAGCTGAGTAAGATATCTTAACTGCCCTCATCCTTGCTTTGTTTTCTAAAGTGCATGCTGCTTTCTGTAAATCTGTGAAGTCGCTAATGTTTCTTGTACTGTTTCTCACTTAAAAGAAAACATAGTAGCATTTAAATTTTTCTGTCCTGCTGATTTTGAAGTAACATCCTGTTAAAAATTCGTCATTGACTTGCACATCAGTAGCTAATGCCATAAGCAGTAGTACTGCACTTGAAACTTGGTCTTCAGGGGGCAGTGCAGTTTCATGCAGACAGTCCTAAAACCAGTTGTGGTATTGTGTCATCGACAGGTCTAGGGTTGTTGGTGTGGTGGGTAGAACAATAACTTCAGAGTCACCACTGTAATTCTGGGGTGTGCCACTGACCTAGTAAACTCATTTGCTAGCTTATGCATTGGTTTTGTCCTTCTGCCTGAAAATACGGGGTAATGGTACTGGCTGTGCAAAGCACCAACATTTTTAAGCGGGCTGTGTAAGAAGTAATTGCTTACAAAGGTTGTGTTTTATATCCAGGGAGATTTCAGAGAAGATAATTTTAATACTGCAATGCAAGTGCTTAGAGATGCAGGAGACTTAGCAAAAGGGGACCAGAAAGGCAGGAAAGGAGGAACGAAAGGTGAGTTTGAATCCCATTCTAAAGTAACTTTTTGTGTAACACAACAAAGTTGTATGGATGTTGTGCTTATGTCTCATCCATTAAGGTATTTTATTTTGCTAAAATTACATTTAAGTTAATGTAATCTCTCTGCAGGTCCTTCAAATGTTTTTAAGATTGTGAAGATGATAATGGAAAGGAATTTCCAACCTGTGATCATTTTCAGCTTCAGTAAGAAAGACTGCGAGGCCTATGCACTTCAGATGACAAAGTTAGATTTCAATACAGGTACAGATGAATAAAATACAGTTTTATTCAGGATTGTATTTTAATGTGAAATGTTACTCTGGTTAGATATTTTTATTTCCTTTGGCACTTCGTGTGTGAAAACAAGTGAAAAATATGTATTGCTTTTTCATTTACTGTGCTGTTACATCAGGCCACTTTCAGTAGTAAACTGTTGGTGCAGAAAGTAGTTCGTCATCACGATGCTGATTCGTTCTTCTATTTTAATCTTTGTTTCTTTCTCCAAAATCCTGTTCGCTGTAATAATAGCACAAGACTTTGTAGAAAATTCTGTCTCTGTTAGGAGAAGATTGATCAAAGCAAATGTATTTCTCAAAATTTTCATGTTCATTAGGAAAATTAGTATTCTCTCCAAGTCAAAGCAACTGTATAACAAACCACTAGACTGTTTTTCTCGACTATTCAATCCAGTTTTCTTTCTTTGCTTCCTCCCCCTTCTTATCTGAAAAATCTCAAAAAGGTAAACAAAGAAGATTTTTTCATTTTGGATTAAGACCAAGCTTGGGAAACAAGTCTAAATTCATAGCTTCTTGGAAATTAAGAGTTGTAACAAAAATAAGGCATCTGTTGTAAATCAGTGTATCATTTAATGTTTGTGAACTATTCACAGTTGTTGGTTACTTGATCCAATATTTGCATGTTTGGGGTACTGCTTAAGTAGAGGGGATGTAAACTTTGAGAATTAGTGGGGAAGAGGAAGAGCCTCTTATGTCCATGCAGGCAGGTACTAGTGGATAGAAGAGAAATGGGGAGGTTTATGAAATAGGCAGAAAGTATATAAAACTGAGAAATCCCAAGCTTGGGAGTTGCTGAAGTTTGGATTACTCTGCCAGGTTTGCTCTGTTTTCCTTTTCCCTGAGCATCTACTTCTGGTTACCATTTCATGCTCATGTTCAAGTTTTGATTGTCTGACCCGATGTGGGTGGTTTTGTGTAGAGTTCATTCTTCCACACTATTTTTATTGTAAACTTCTGTAAATATTAGAATGTGGGAACGCTTTATTTGCACATGGTGTCAGCCTTCTGGATTTTGTAACAATTTTTGAATTGCCTTCTTAGATGAAGAAAAAAAGATGGTTGAAGAAGTGTTCAATAACGCAATTGATTGTCTGTCAGATGAAGACAAAAAGCTTCCTCAGGTGAGTGGAGATTGAATAAAGGTAGCTGCTGCTCTCCTGTTTTCTGCAACTTTTGAGGCTGTGGCTCTGTTGTAGTGGGTACAGAAATCATGAACTGGATATTCTTATACATCTCCCTGGGTTTTAATATCTTTTGCATTGCTCCTTGGCATTGTGAAATAGGACTCAGTGGTGAAGGTTCCTTCCAGCTGTGATTCCAGCAAATTACATGTGCCAGAATTAACTATGGCATTCCTACCCTGTGAAATTTTTTTTTTTATTATTATATTTTTAAGTAAACATAAGGGCTTAGAAAGATATATCTGGCTTAAAACTGTCTGGAAATAGTTCAGATGAGAGTGCAGTATGCACTTTATCAGTTTTTGACTGCTGAGCCTTTAAAAAAGTTGAATTAATTCACCTGCATTCTAATTTATTGTGTAATGATTAAGCATAGTGAGTATCTTTACAGTGGAAAAAAGGCAAGCTTCTATGTCACGGTATATTACAGGATTCAGTACTTTCGCAGCAAATACTGAAACTGTAATTTTTTTCTGTCCTCCGTTTTCTTTTATTTATTTCTGTACATCATTTCTTAATGTAGTGATCTCTGTTGTGAGCGTAGCCAAGTTCTCCTTGAAACAAAAAAACGTTTTAATTTTTGGCCGTGTCTACTTCCTTTGACTTCCACACATCTGTTTGAACTTGAGAAAAATGGATAATAGGAATCCAGTACACAACGTGTTATGTGCTGGGGGTTTTTATAAGCTTGTAGCAGTGGCATGATATCCAAGTAAGCAGTTTTGGTCTCTGAACAATGATACCTCAAAAGTGTATTCTGAGGATTAGGTTTGGATGTGGTAAGCAAGTGTTAATAGATTGTTAATGAGAATCTTTGTTTCCAAAGGAAAAAATGAGACAGAGCTAAGTTTATGTAGGTACTTGTTTGAAGTATAATGTTTTTAGAGTTTAAGAAATTAATTCAGTCATTTACAGCCTGAATTTCCTTGTACGGCTCTCCTGGTGCCAACTTCAGTGTTTTGCAGCACATATCAGTAAGTGAAATCACTGCAACTAAAATTGAAACAAAATATCTCGTGCATCCCAAGATTGCTGTGTCCAAAAATGATTTTAAATTAGCTTTTTTTTTTTTTTTAATAGAGGCAAATTTAAATACTGACTGCATGTGTAAATTAGCTTCACAGTTGGCCCAACCCAATTTAAGACTGGTATACTGAAAAGATTGGACTCTGGCTTTATCCTTTATATAATTCCTAGTTCTAACTGGAAAATAATATTGAAGCTATATTAATTGTATTTTAAATTAGGAAATAGGGAATTACATGAACACTAAGGGCAGTGTTGAGGTTTTCCACACAGGTTTTATTTTTTAATAAGAAGTAATAATTTGTTTACTGGTCTTTCTGTATTTCTGCTCAGGTTGAGCATATACTTCCTCTTCTGAAGCGAGGAATTGGTATCCATCATGGTGGTCTGCTTCCTATCTTGAAAGAAACCATAGAAATTCTTTTCTCCGAGGGCCTAATAAAGGTATATATATTTCATGTCAATATTTAGTTTTTTCGCTGTGCTGAATACAAAGTCATTAATGCTGAAACACTGAGAAGTATGTCTTATCTTAGAATGCACAATGATATTGTAGTGGAGATCTGCTCCTGACTGAAAAAGGTGATAGATTTGGCACTGAAAGTTTGGCACATGCCAAACTGAAAAGTGCTTTGTGTTATGAATGTGATTCTGTGCAGGAAGCATGAGGCTTTTTAGTTAGCAAAAACTTCTTTTGTATATTGTGTTTACCTGTAAGTAGGCAATTAAAAAAACCCAAACAAACCCTAGACACGTACAAAGTTTGGATAGGCTCTGTTCTGTGAGTCTACATGCTGGCTTCTGCGAGTGCCCACAGCACCTCTGGTAGCCTGTAGCTGTTCAGTGGCACAGGTTAGTTGGTGTAATGAGCTGCAGCTCCATCGCCTTGAAAAATGCAAGTATTTGCATAAATGCCTCCATTGTTACCTGAAAAAGCGATTCTTGAAGCTTTTCTTTTTATTTATTCTCTATAAGGAAAAGTCTTTACTTTGCCTCAAATGTCTTATGTTAGTGCACAATTACAGCTCTAGTTTTAAGTGTTCTAGAGTTTATTCTAAGTATTTAAATTTACAATGTCTAATATTTTCTTCAACAGTTTCATGATACATTTTGCTCCTATAAACAACTCTAGATATTTATCAAGCTGTTTGTTGGTTGCCCTGAGGGATGTACATTCAGAAAAATCTAACCTTAGATAAAGATTATGGTATTTTGTTTGGGTAGTTAATTGCTGTTTTCTTCTTACAACTTTGAATGTGGAAATCCACTATTGTTTTTCATTATTATCATTTGATCCCCCTTGTGTTTTCTTTTGGAGTCTCTTACATGGTCCCATGTTTTCCCAGAGGAAATACGGGAAGGGAGAAAGAATGGTTTGGGACCAGTTTTTAAATATTGAATGCACCTATGTTGACGGTATATAAGTAGTAAAATCTGGAGAGGTTTTGTGTAGCAATCTCTGAGTATTTGCACATTTGCTTAAGAGCCTTTGTTTTCGCCTTTGTAACTTCAGTCTGTTTATTTAGGCCTTGTTTGCAACAGAGACTTTTGCTATGGGAATTAATATGCCAGCCAGGACTGTGTTATTTACAAGTGCCAGCAAATTTGATGGAAAAGATTTCCGATGGGTAAGTGAAAAATGAGTTCTGGAGAATAACTGAATTGTGTTATTGAAACCTATTAGGATTAAATTTACTCTCAACATACACATTTAAATGTAAGGGAAAATAACTTCTAAAAATCTTTCTTTGTTCACTAATCCATTTATACTTAGTGTACCAGTTCTTGAAGACAAGATTCCTCGGATTATGCATGAAAGTATTTGTTTTAATACCCACAGCAAAAGGGCATCAAACACAGATTAGCAGTGGACATTGGATTAGACTGAGATTTCTGAACAGCTTGTCCAAAACTGAGACCCAAATACCATCTTCTGTGTCAGGAGTGTGGACAGTGAGTGGCCTCGGTATCATAGCGTAATGATCACGAAATCTAGGTTTTGACAGACCCAAGAAAAGAGATCATTTACCTCAGGAGAGGACTGATTGTTCTGTTACAGCAGAGTATTTTGAGTAGCCCACAAAAAGACAGAAATGTGCAGAGGGAGAGACAGGTTCTTAAACAGCTGGAAAACAAACAATTTAAAAAATGTAAACACTAAACCCAGGTATTTGATTCACATGTAAATAATAATAAAGGTGGAGAAGACATCACAGCAAAACTTTGTAAGTGTCCTGGTTCATCTTTGAGAGATGGTAAAATTGCAGTGAACAGGACAAGTGACTTGACGTGTGCTTTATGAAGTCAGCCTCTCTTCAGTCTTGGTTTGGGCTGTTCAGATTCGCGATTCAGTCAGGCTGATTACATGTCCATAAGATACATGAGAGCATTAGCTACCCATCAGGTATCAGACATGTGGAACTTCTCGTTTTGAAATGATTTAGCATGGTTTCCTTAAGTAGTTTTTGAGATTGACTTAAAGCGAGATGCAGAAAATTGTTGGAACGCAAGTTCCACGGGTGACAAAAATCCTGTTCTGTAACTTACTGAGACCTGGGGAACCAGCTGTAGCTGGGTCTTGTCCACGTCCCAGTTCTTTATAACCTCTCCAGTTTACACAGGTAGTGGGCATAGAAATACAGCTCTTGGTAGGCGTCAGTGATTTCGTGTGACATTTGAATCATCTGAGTGAGATGATACATTATTTCAAGATGGTGAAGATACATTTTAATAATCTCTGTCATGCCCAGCAACTTTCCGTCATGTGAGACGTGAGTAAAATGGGGTTTGTGCTTACTAAAATGGTGCACTGTGTTACAGAAGTCACTGGCTGGGGGAGCATTAGTTAACCGACACTGCTGACACGCATTATTTGTGTCTTCGTAGCGCAGTGATCAATTACGAGTAATTAATTCAATCTGTGAAAAGTTCACGTCTTAGATAACTTTTCTTTGCTAATTTTTATACATCATGTTCATTTACTGTGTAATTGTAAGTAGCACTTTATATGTTCTTGCTTTTTTTCCAATGTATATAATTTTTTTTCTTTTCCTCTTTTTATCCTAGATATCCTCAGGTGAATACATTCAGATGTCAGGTCGTGCAGGACGCCGAGGTATGGATGACAGAGGAATAGTAATTCTTATGGTGGATGAGAAAATGAGTCCAACAATTGGCAAGCAGCTTTTGAAGGTAAAGAATTTTTTTTTTTTTTTTAATCCTCCCCACTAAGGTTACTCTCATTTGAATAATGCAACGGGTAAAATTAGACACCTAGAGCAAAAGATCGTACGTATGTAGGTCATGCAGGTGGGACATGAGGACTAAAAGGAGTGTGGGCTTTCACTGAATTACCATTAAAGCAGGAGTTTCTATTGTGAAACAGAATTAGAAGGCTAGTATCATCCCTCTCTGTATGAAGGGGATCTGAGGCAGAAGAGGTAGAATTGTATCTTGTTTTCTAGTGACATCACTACTGCTGCAGTATTCTGTTTGTTTCTTCCTGACCACAGTCAGTTATTGCTGAATTAGAAAAGGTGTGCTGAGCTTTCACAAGAATCATTAAAGGCTTCGTTCTGTGGAGAAATAATGCTTGTTAATGGACTTCTTAGTGTAATAGAAAAACTGAACAAAGTAATGCAAAAAATCAGGTACATAAATAAGAAGAGTGAGAGGGCCGTCAGTGAGCTAAAATTAACTATGGAGGAATTGATAGTAAGTAGGAAACTTATGTTTGGGAACTAAGAGGTTGGAAAAAAAACAGTCTTGTGACTGAGATGGACATTAGATTATAGGTCTTCCCCAAACTGTAATCGAAGTTGGTATGGATTCTTAGAATAATACCATAATTTGAATGTGAAACATCACACTCATTACACTTCTATTTAAATTCCATGGCAAAAATCACCATGATGAAGCATAATATTCTGTTTGTGTTGCCTATCTTAGGCTGTTTACATTAATTGTCCTCACATGTTAAAATTGAAAACATGGGGATTTGCTCTGCATGCTGTTCAGGGGCTAGTAGCGTTGGTACAAACAGCAGGTCGTTGGTGTTAAAACAGCACTTACAGTATTATTAGGGTTTGTATAAATTGTGGGAATCATCTTAAGTCAGCGTTAGGGTATGTTAATAAAAAAATAATGTATTTGTTGCCAAAAAAAAAAACCAACCTAGATGCCAATATTTTTCTGTTTTGTTCAGACAACGAGAAGGAAATTATGTACATAGCTGCTGTTAGTAGTGCAGATGTGGGTTGTTGTTGTGTTGTCTTGCTCTGTCCCTGCTACCCTACAATAAATGTGTACATCAGACCATGGTCACACACAGGTAGTGTTGACCTTCTTAAAGTTGGAATTTTCATGAGTGCTACATTATGGCTAACTAACCAGAAAGCAGTAAAATGAGAAATTTCAAAAATATTAGAACTTGCTTATGTACAGTAGCGTTAGATTTCGATTTTATTTCTTAGTCTTGATTTGTGTTTTCTCAGTGGAGTGGACATATATTTGTTTGTTTACATGTGAACGTGTACATCTCTGGGATATATGAAGACTAAATATTTGGATTTTTATGAGTTTTTAAGACTATTTAAAAAAATGGATGTAATGTTTTGATACACTGTGGTGGGTTGACCCTGCCTGGTGGCCAGATGCCCACCAAAGCTGCTTTGTCACTGCCCTCCTCAGCTGGGCAGGGGAGAGAAAACATAACAAAAACTTAGGGGTTGGGATAAGGACAGGGAAAGATCACTCACTGATTACCATCCTGGGCAACACACACTGAGCTTGGGGAAAATTAATTTAA